TGGAACACATGTAAGGAGAAGATTTGGGCCTCAGAGAAGGTCCCCAGGCCTACAAGGGACACAGGTGTGAAGGCAAGATTCGCTCACAGCAGAAATCCGAGGCCCTGTGAGCTGCTGCCAGTCCCAGTAGAGGGACTCAGTGGGCAGTGGAGGGGAGGGGAGGTGGAGAGGAGAGGCACAGGGGCTGCAGATGGCAGTGAGAAGTGTTGGCCACTGTCCTGTGGGCCAAGTGATGGCTCATTCACCAGCTGAGCAGAGGTGTCTGCGGCACAGGGTACGGACTTTTGGGTGGGGGTGTTGGGGAATAGCAGAGTAATGGGAGGTGGTTCAAAAGGCCTTGGCCTACAGCAGTGGGCTGGGAAGAGGAGCCAGGGCCTTCAGCCCAGACAGCTGGCCTCGGGCACCAATCCCACTGCCCACCAGTCCTTGGCCACACCCAGGGTCATTGCCACCTTATCACCATCATGAATAAGGGCCCATCTGAGAAGGTCCTGATGCTTTTGAATTCATTTAGGAGGTGTCGACACGTGGCTGCCCCCTACTGGGGAAAGCTCCCCCAGAGCTGTGTCCTTAGCTCTGGTATAAGGCCTAGCACAGTCAGACAGACTTTGAGTTTTCCCTGCACCCTGAGGTCTGCATCTGGGCCAGCGCAGCACCTCTGTCTGTTCCTGCTGGAGCTCTGTGGACACTGCTCATGCCCCAGGTTCTGCCCTTCAGCAGATCCTGCAGGGTCTGCCTTTCAAACCAAGCTGGAAGGGCTGGAGTGTAGCTCACCAGTACAGCCCTTGCCTACATGCACAAGGCCCTGGGCTCAATCCCTAGCACCACAGGAGACAGCAACAGCACCACCGGAGACCTCCGAGGCCGCTGCCACCTCCTGGTCTGAGCCCCTGGCATCACCTGCCAGTCCCTGCTGGTCCCTCTGTTTCCACCATCTTCACAGAGCAGCCTAAGTGGGACCCAGCTGTGATTGCCCAAAGCCCAGGGAGGCTCTGACCCCAGGACTTTTGCACTGGCTGGCCCTGCCTGGAATCTTCTTTCCCTGGCAAATGCAGTGAGCTCCCTCCTACATCCCCTTTGAGTCTTTGCTTCAAAGTCTTTGTTTTTCAGCGAGTTCTTCTGCCAAGCTCCTCCCACTCCCAGCCTACCCTGCTTTAGCTCCTCCCTGCCCTCAGCCCCTGCCCAAGCTGCAAAGTACCACCTTCCCCCTTCTTTCCAGCACTGAGGACACCATGGGTGCTTAGTAGGAGGATGGGGTCTGAGATGGGAATGGCAACCCTTCTGTGCTCTGCCTGGATTACTTTTTTTTTGGTCTTTTTGAGGCAGGGTCTCGCTGTGCAGTTCAGGCTAGCCTAGGGCTCACTTTGTAGCCTAGGCTGGTCTCGAACTTACAACGATCCTTCTGCCTCAGCATCCTGAGGGCTGGGATTATGGGCATGCGTCACCACTCCCAGCCTTCTTCTGGGGATGTTTTGAGAAACTCAAATCCTCAAGATCTATTTTTCCTGGGCTCTCTTGCCCTTGAGCTCCCAGGACAGGTTCTCATGCCAAGCACACACCGGGCCATGATAGATCTTTTCTGACAACCAGTAAGCCAGGTGCCACGTCATCACCCACAGGCCCTTCTTCTCCGAGGACTGCAGTCGGGAACCTGTTGCCCAGCACCAACAAAGGGGTCTAATAAGCCAGTGAAGAGACCCCTCCATCCTTCATGCTGGTTCCTGCCAGGGACATTGCTATCATGTCCTCCTCTCACCTACCCCCGGGCAGATGGCAGCGGCTGACAGAGAGCTGGGCTCACCCACAGGAGTGGGGCAATGCATAATTGGTTAACCTTGAATTCTGCAAAGTCTGCGGCTCGGCGAGCTGGGGGTGGCTGGAACCATTCTTAGCTTGGGCATAATTCAAATTAGCTCTTGCAATCAACGTGCAATTAATTGTTGTACACCCTGGGCATCAGAGTGCTGTGCAGAGGGGGCTTAGGGAATGGGGCTTAGGGCATCTTGAAGCAGAGGTGGGCACAGGGGTGCCTACAGTGGGCAGTTCTAGTTTGCATGGGAGATTCTGAAGGGATTTGTCTGAGTCCTACCACCTGCACTCAGATGTTAAGAATAGCAGCCAGCATTAATTGAGCATCCACCGTGGGCCACATAGTTCTTACAGGCCCCACTTCAGGCCAGCAGTCTGATGTTACAGGCCTCTGGTGTGTAACCCTCCTCTTCAGGACATGGAGATTGGGGCTTAGAGAGGGCAAGTGACTTAAAGTCACAGCAGCTGGTTAAGCCCAGAAGTGCTGACCCCAAAGTCAGTGTGCTGGCCCACTGTGCTCCAACCCAACTCGGAAGATGAGAGATTTGGCTGCTACTCCTGTGAATGGGGTCTCCGTGGGTCATGACACTTGGGCTCTTAACTGGGGACAGCCTATGCAGGGCAGCCGTATTTGTCACCCCAGCTTTGTACCTGGTGTCTCTTTGCCAGGCGTCTTGCCGTTCCAGGCCACCAAAGGGAGCCATGCTGACTGCTCTATCCCTGGGAGGGGGCTGTCCCCAGACAGGGCCAGTGACCTGGGCACCAGTCCAGCCTTTCAAACTCTAGGCTCTGGTATTGTTGGCAGGACGACCCTCTGCCCTGTCCTGCCAGTCCGGTCTGCCCTGCCCATGTAGGGCCCTCTGTCCTGTAATCCCTGGCCTCCTGGGAAGCCTGCAGTCTCCACTGCTCAGACCCTTTGGGGAGCTCCTTTCTTTGGTCTGGCCAGGGGGCCTTTCTGGGGCGGGGTCATGCTGGTCCAGGCCCTGGAGGGCAGCCCCAACAGGCTCTGCCCTGTCCTGGCCCACAGGCCTCTGTGGGTCTACAGCAAGACACCCTTCCTGCAGGCAGGGTCGCACTGCCCCACGCGCCCGCAAGGTCCTCTCTGCGGCGCGCCTTTCCTAGGAGACTTCGCGTATCTCGGTTTCCACGCCGGTGGGCTCAGGTCTGGGTGAGGGTCTCTTTTGGGGCCGGTATGTTCTTCCCCGCCCGCGCCCGCCCGGCGTGGGGCGCCCCCTCTCCCAGCGCGGGCGGCAGGCGGGAGCCGGAACAGTGTCGCCGGCCGCCTGCAGGTGTCTCCCCACGGAGGGGCGCGCGATCCTGCGCGGTGGCCGCTGCCAGGCGCCGGCGGCTCCTCGCCGAGGTGCACTCACGCTCCGGGCTCCGGGCGCGCCGGG